ATTTTTCGGCAGGAATTATTCGATCACCACGTGTCGTTGGCACGGTCCCTTTTATAATCGGGTTACAAACCCTTGCTGACTCGGTGACGGCGTGAAATTTACACATGGCGGGTTCTATCGGATCGACCAGGCCGTCCACCAGCAAATTTAATACCGCTGTCTCGCTAATGTGCACCCCCGACTACTCGCGAATGAAATATCGCGTTCACGGGGCGAGTTATCGAGAATCGGCATTATTATTTAGCTTTTTCATTTCGTAAAATTCAATCATGTGCTCCCTGGTCCGTGGGACGAAATAACGAGTACGATCCGCGAGTCGGATAGGTGTTGGTCGAGTTCTCTCGATGACGTCATTGGGTTTCGCAATTCGCATGTACTTAATCAATAATGTTTATTAATGTATCAATATAAGTATCATCTCGTCGTAAATAAGATGAACTCGTTGTTGTATCAAATATAAGTAGAAAAAGGAGTATGATTTGGGACACGTGGTAATTAATTTAGGGGTGTTTGCAGAATTTCGAGAATTCGCAATTCGCGTATACTTATTTGGTAACGTTTATTAACGTATTAATAGAAATATTATTTTATCGCGAATAGGATGCCCTTATCGTTGTATCAGACATAAGTAGAAACAACAGAGTGATTTGGGACACGTGGTAATTAATTTAGGGGTGTCAGCAGAATTTCGAGGAATATTATTTGCTAATTACGATGGAAGTCTCTATTAAAGAATAATTGGACTTTAACAGCTAGTTTACAATGAGTGACTGATCACCAATTACATCCCTCGACTCTTCCCATCGCAGAATTCTTTAGCCGTGTCACGTTATCATCCTTGCCAAACAAAGTAGCAGGGTCGGTCTAAGAAGCCCCGGTTCGATGGAGGTAAACGCGTTTGATCAAAGACTGCATTACCCCACGTACACGGTCGATTACATCTTCGGTCGTGCGCTTCTAATTGGACGCTGTAACGTGCATTGTTTACTAAACAATGTCATAACAACCGTTCGAAGTTGAATCACTCAACGACCCACTGCTGAATCTTGCGACTCGCGAGGAAACTGGAACGAGGAACCGAGAAGGAAATAAAAGTTCCCGGGATGCTACTTTCACGGTCCACGACGTTTAAAAACCTTTCACTTCTTTGACATCCGATATCGCTTTCATCGTCATCGGGTAAAAGCTTCGCATAATTGACGAATAAACATTGTATCCCGAAGATTGAACGAAAAATTAACCGTTTACAAACACATTCTGCAGCAGTTCGTTACATAACCGTGGTAATAATTAATTTCAATTGTCGAAATAATTTTATAGATTCACGACGATTAACGATTCACAACGCTAAATACATAATAGCGATACCGCGAAATCCCCTTTGTGGAATGCGCGGAAAGCAGTTCGTTACATAACCGTGGTAATAATTAATTTCAATTGTCGAAATAATTTTATAGAGCAACGATTCACAACGCTAAATACATAATAGCGATACCGCGAAATCCCCTTTGTGGAATGCGCGGAATTATACAGAATTAGCAATGATACTAATCCGTTTGCGAACGAAATTGTCCACGGTAATTTGTTTGCGTCAACGTCGGTTCGGATAGGATCGGGTTTGCCAGAGGTTATTTATTACGACCATAGTCCGGGCTGATGTTCGGCATTCGCGAGGCGAAACGCGAAACAATCGTGCATGACAGGCCGAATACCAGTTATTGTTGCTGCGTTTCGCACACATACGTCAGTTGGCTGGCCCCGTGTCAGCAGGCAGCCGGATGTCAGCGATCGGCAAACTCGATCTTTCGCGCGAACGTTCACACGCTCCGCGGATGCAATTGCACGCGCGAACCTCGGTTCATTTCGGTTCGATACACACCGTTGACGTCGTTAACGATTCATCCTATTGGCTGTTTGACCAAACTTTCCTTTACCGCTTCGATCCACTGCGCTCCGTGAATTTTAGCAGTTCCAACGTGCTTTCGCAGCGCGAAGCTTTTTCAAAGCGCAGGATTTATTCGGTGAAGAAGAAGCTTACGAATATTCACGGTCTACGAGTTTCTCGATTTTACCGGTGAAAATAAAAATCGAGTAAGGACCTGGAAATCGTGAATGTCTTCGTTGCACTCGACTGGCACAGAGGTTTAAGCTTTAGCTTTATCTGCAGCGTTCGCGCGACTCGACTATAGCCTGTATGGGTATCAAAGCGATCAAGTCCGTGAATAGCTAATCCGCTTGTGGTCTGTAAGTAGCTTCTTTATAGTCATTTGAATGGACGCTCGAATAGACTCAAAAGCCACATACCACGCAACCTTTCACCCTTCACGAATCATCCTCGAAACACACCCCCCGCCAACAGAGCCAATAACACACATGACTTCACCCCCAACGGAATTCAGACTGACGATTGGAAATACCCGAATGCTTAAAAGATGACGTATACTCCGAACGAGGATTTCAAAGCTGAGCTTCAAAAGGCAGTTTCACTAATTTCACATGGTAGACCTTGAAAAGCTATCGCAGATTTTCAACTGATTGTGAGTGTAGATTCTCGGATATCACGGTCCTGGCTTAAAGACAGGGAAGCTTAAAATATACGAAGTAAATGAATTTATTATTTATATATCTATTCGTATGCTCGCATTAATTATTCGACGTGTTTCCCGTGTACAAAAATGAATACGTGCAACGCGTAATTTCCAACCACGGAACGCTATAGCGAACGTAATAATTTATCCAAAGGCATGGGATCGCATTCGAATGGTTGGATTTCGTGCTCCCCTGTCGCATTCGACGCGACATAGAGCAACCGGACGTTTGAAATAATCGACGCGCCGGATGTGCGCGAATTTCCGCATCCGGGTATCGAGAAAAGTCGCGTTTCGAAATTTCGCGGAGGACTCCTCTCGATGTACGTCACGTTCGCCTTTTGCCGGAAGTTGCGCGAAATCGCTTGGTAACGAGCGCTTGTTAAAGTAACGACGATACGAGACGGTCGGCAGACGAGAGGAAAGGAGAATTGTACTTCCGTTTGTCGTCGTTTGGAGAAGCGCGAGCTTGTTCGTCGCAGGTCGCAGTGGTATCGGTCGGCCATGCAAGAGACGCAGGAACGCGATACGCGTATAGTCGGACATACCTGTGATCGATCTATCACTGTCGGCCGAAAAAGGCGGTGGAAATTCATTAAATACCATCGCGCGATGCGTACGAATGGAAAAGGAGTAAAATCCAAGGCGATATGGGATTTGAGAGTGAAGCAAAGTTTGATGGAAAATTTTCTGTAAACTCAGTTTCAGAATTTGAAAATTGCACGGAAATGTATTGCGCGTTTCGTTCCATTTTTAAATACAATCCGTAGAATATGGATGTCTGTATTTATGAAGCGAATATGAATATGTGATGAAAAGAATAAAATCGAAATTGCAGCGAAATTTTTGGAAAATATTGGAAAAAGTATTTTTAAATTAAATACGGTTTACTCGGAACTGTGTTGTATAATCGTGTGTACGTATACGGGGTACCAGCTTATCCATTCATTAGTGTCTTCCTAGTTTAATAAGGCACGCCCTCGGAAATGTCGATCATAAGCAAGGGGGAAAATTAAGAAATCACCGGGAAGAATAATGCAACAGGGATGAGAACGAGGACATGGCGAAACGGGGTCACGCGGGCATCGAGGGGCGAAACGGAGAGCTTTGTGGGACAGGTCAGGATATGTCCATGACTCGAATGACGGTCGCGATTTCGCGTTTGCGTTGTTGCATCGCGGGCGTGATCGTTAGAGCGCGGATAGGATCGATCGAGGAGGACGGCTGTAAACACCGTTGCAAATGTGCCGTGAAATTTTTTCCAGCCTCCGAGCGAACGTAACAAATGTCCCTGTTTTTCCTCGAGGGAGTGGTGTTATTGGATTATCCCGTGAGCGATGGGAGTATTTAAAAAATCGACACAGAAATGGAGAAATTTATTGGGAAAGGGATCGGGAACTGGCAGGATGGCAAGGATCGATGGTGATAAGCGGACACAATTTCCTCGGCATTAGCAAAATCGTAGAACCAGATCGGAAAGGAATTATCCCGAATCATCGCGAATCGATCAATTCCTGCTTGCTACACACGCGTCTACCCTTACGTGGATAACCCGTTGCGGCAGCTGCGCCATTGTGTTTACGATAAGAATGAAACAGAACGATCGCGAACGAGGATCCAGCAGCCATAAACGAGAAAATGAAATCGTAACCAATAAGAAGCGCCGAAGAGAGGAGATTATCATCTGAAACGCGTCAGATGGGTCTTATTGCCTGCAGGAATGGTTGCCAACAGATGGGAGCTCACGATTTCTATTATCTCGAGATTAACGTGTGACCAAGAGCTTCTAAATTTTTCAACCGACGAATCTCACAGCGGTGGTTCGCAGAAAATAAAAGGCTTTCCTCCGTTTTCCGTTTTCGTTCTTCCCTGCGCTGGCCTGGATGTCTGGACGCTTTGGCCGGCTGGAATCAGTCGAGTCACGATCGATTTATAAAATTGATCTCGCTTGACGAACCGAGACGATGTTTCTCGCTCGATGCGAGTTTCTCCTTCGCGATCGCACCGTTTATCGTGGCCATTTGTAAAATCACGCGAACCACCGCCACGTTCGGAAGGAACCATTTAATGCACGGATCAGCGTTCAGCCGAGACAAATCGCTACAGTGGCCGCGATACACGAGCCAGCAACGATTAAACCGACAACAAATCACGTAAACGGGATTAGCACTATCGCTGCTTAAAGAAAAAAGTTAAACAACACCTTCGTTGTTTAAATCCTTTATTTACGTGCTTTATCGTTAACGGTTACTGCGTTGCATTATGATTCCGTGGAATATTACATCGTTTAATAAAATTTATATTCACCTTTGAACAGTGGGACATTATTCGGGGAACTTCCCTGGTAAATATCGTAGATCGTTGAAAGAGAAATGGCATCTAACATGGTTGGTGTTCCATTTCGTGTTTCAGAGATTCTCAAATCGCTATGCGACAAATTCCTGCCGAGCAACGTGTCCGCCATCTTGTACCTGATGAACTACGAGATGTACGGCCGCAGCACTGCCAGTGCTCAATATTTTCTGCAGCTGGCCGGTTACTTAGGAATTCCAGTGATCGCATGGAACGCGGACAACTCGGGATTGGAACGGGTGAGTCGATCCAAACGTCTCTTTCCTCTCGGCCATAGTTACGAAGAAAAATACCACCCCTCTTGGAATAAATTTCGAAATTCATCGACCTCCTGAAAACCAATGGTGGGAATACACGTAAAATCTCCAATCTCCTATTCTCCTGCTGTCCGATCTTGGGAAAATCCAACAAAGTGCCAAAGACGACGTTCCTAACCTAACGCGATATCCAATGCAAAGGCGAAGACCGCAGAAATTCGCGTAATACTTTCATCGGATACTCCGCGTAATCGCGACACGTTCGTCGTTAGAACCTGTTCAGAGATGCATGAATTTCCGACGCCTTTCAGAGAGCCTCGCAGAGTAACCTGCAGCTGCAGCTGGCGCCATCGCTGGAGCACCAAACGGCCGCGATGCTGAGCATCCTCGAGAGGTACAAATGGCACCAATTCAGCGTGGTCACCTCGCAGATTGCGGGACACGACGATTTCGTGCAGGCAGTCCGCGAGAGAATATCCGACATGCAGGACACTTTCAAGTTCACGATCCTGAGCGCGATCATGGTCACCGATCCGCGGGACCTCCTCGAGCTGGTAAACAGCGAGTCCAGGGTGATGCTGCTCTACTCGACCAGGGAGGAAGCCATCAGCATCCTGAGCGCGGCTCACGATTACAAGATCACCGGGGAGAATTACGTGTGGGTCGTGACACAGAGTGTCATCGAGAACCTTCAGACCCCCAGCCAATTTCCAATTGGAATGCTCGGTGAGTGGAACCGTCTTATCGAATACCGCCATGCTTCTCGAATAGACAATGCGAGAATGTATAGCCCGGGTGTTGGACATTCGAGCAAACGAGAAATTTAGAAGGATCACTCTCCTCTTGGTAGATGTTACCCCCAGTCGGTCGATGTCCTCTCTGCTGATTGGATGGAAGTATTATCTAGGTCGAAATTTCATATTTGAACTTTCTGCTTATTCTTTATTCTCTTCCATAGTATCGAATGGTATATGATTCAGTGGTGCATTTGAAACCTGGTTTCGTTTAAATAGGTAATTGTTTTCTTTAATTGGGAAACGAAATTAGAATGGAATTAATTATGAGGTGAAATTGAACTGAAACTAATTATGAAATGGAATTAAATGGAATTAAAAATTACTGAGTACGTTCGAGATATAGGGTATATTCGCAGGATCTGTTCGAAATTGAAATTTAACCTGTATCTTTGAAACTACGTAATTCGTAGATGGCGGCTCGTTACGAAATCTTTTTTCGGTGTTCGTTCGCGGGTCTAACTTTTTAGAAGACTTTCTCCGAGCGTGTGAATTACGCGAAACAAAAGTTGGAAGGGACGCGTAACGAGAAGCCGGGAAAATTCTCCCATCTATTGGTGAGCCATCGGGAACTCAATCGGAAGCCATCATATCTGAGATTCTGCTCTAGGAAAACGAGAGGTCTGTTGAAGTGTACGCCGTTCGACGTGTTCCCGTTGAACAGAATTCGATGAATTTATTCCTCCTAGGAGGGTAGCCAGGACGGAACCCTGAGGAAGGCATCAATTTCCGATTTCCGTGATTCTCACCTCGCCGTTGAATCTCCTTTTCAACGGCCGGCCACTCAAAATATCGGCCGACGTTCCAGTAGAAACTCTAATGGCAGGGAAATCTCTTCCGTTGCCTCTTACCGGCAGAACTTTCTTATAGGTGTTACACCCGCGTTTTAATGAGGTTTCTCTGGGTTATGGAGCTTAACGTGTTAAAGATAACGACCAGTATCGGACGACGTTAACCTCGCGCATATTTAACATCGAAGCTCCTGCACGAGATAAAAGGGAAATTCGCTTCCATCGCTCCCCGAATTTCTAATTATATTAATAATAATATTTCTTCGAAACTTGCTGTGCAAATATTTTTTTAACACAGCCACGACTGTACCAAAGATTCCTATACTCCCGTGGTTCCAACCTGCAGCTAGTTCTCAGACAATACGAGGAGTCTTCCGCCTCCGTAGCGCGTCTCGGCACAATACAAAACAATCTGCGCGCGGAACTTCTCCCTCGCGAGTAATTTCGCGAACTTGAAAAGGGGAACGCGCGCGATATAATAACGTTTACGAAATGAAATTACCACGGCTAAAAGCCCAACTCTTTCTAATTTCGAGTCCCCTCGCCTCTTTCCCATTCTCTCTCCCCTTTCGTTTCCTTTGATTTATTCCCGCATATTTTTTCGCAAACGGGAGGGAGATACGTATCCGGCTCGTCCTCGACATTCGCGAAATCCTAGCGCTCGTGCGAGCACACCTCGGTGACAGAAAGGTTTCCGAATTCAATATTTCCTTGGGAAGAACGCGCTGTAACGATGTCGCCTCGCCGTTCTCTTTCCGCGCGGGAACCTCGCTAGGCTTCATGAACGCCAGTGGAAATATGATAAAAAAGAAAGTAACGTGGAAACTGGGTGTACCAAGGAATCGGGGTTTGGTATTGACAAATATTCCGCAATTTCCAGTAGCAGTCGCGACAGCCGAAAGCCATTCCTATTTGTACCTGCAGACTCATCGATTTTCAAAGCCCGCTCTTGCGAGAGGAATATCGTGTATCGCGTACTCGAGGGCCAAAGAGCGGAAACGTTGCGTGGTATCCGTCAGCGTTTACTCGTGCACGTGAACAAAACGTTGACACGATTGACAGTAGGTGGGGATGAAACTCGAATTTTAACGAATAACAACCCTTCCTTCAAGATAGCAGCGTCTTTCTACCTAGCTGACTCGGGTGTAACAGGGAACTACTTTGGTAATGAAATTTATTTTGTTCTGACTGTCTGTCAGATTCGTGTAATGAATTTATCAGGGAATTTTCGTGGTAGATATGTAGGAACACAAAGAAAAGCTCAGGTATTTCCACTTCTAGAGGCATCAAAGGTCCCGAGTCAATGGGCGCCTGATTTATGTCTTCCCGGCCAGCACGCCATGACTCGCGGACACGCGGACCACCTCGAATATTTGGGCTAGCTTCTGGAAGAGACAGTTCGTTTGCGACTAGACCACGGGAGAGAGCTTTTCCAAGATGAGACACCCTGTCTTCTATACCACTCCCTTCCCCCTTGCGTAAATAAAACCCTTCCATTAATAGGAAATAGTGTCTTGATTTCTTAAATACCCGCGACATCTCTTCAGATAATTCGCAGCTGAGTTCTATTGCAGATTTATTTGCCCGAAGGTTATAGGTCATACGATTCAGATGTTCGCTAGTTGGATCAAAAACTATACTCGGTATACTATAGAACGTTTGAATGTCAAAGAACTCAACACGAGATCATTAAGTCGATAATGACGTAAGAACAACTTGCTTCCTCATCGCATAAGCGTATCCTTCCATATCCTCTGCGTCGGTTTTAGCTCGCGGTATAGTTACCCGATATCAGCGCAGATCATGTATAATCGTGCTGAAGGTATAGCACGTTTCTCGAAGTATCGGATAACAGTGATAGCAGAGGAAGTGGGGAAATTAGCAAGACGTGGCGCAACATTTTCACGAATGTCCGTTAAACATTCGCGAGCCTGTCTATCAGCATGTCCACTGCTTTAACAACTACTCGAGAATAACGAGTCGTCAGGCAGCGAATTTAATTAAATCCACGCGTACGAAGCCTGTCTGTCAACTAGCATCCTTTGTGCCTTGTTTTTCCCTCGATATCGGCTTTGCCGAGCTGCAGTTTCATTTATAATCCACCTTCATACACTTTCCACCCCGGATTCGTGTCTGAAAAAACAGAACGTACTTTTGTTCGTTAGAGAAAATATTTCAGAACAAAGTCCGGATTCTAATTTTCTGCTTTCTATTTAGGAGTGCATTTTGATACGAGCACGGAGAGTCTGGTCAACGAGATCACCACCGCTGTGAAGGTCTACGCGTACGGTGCTGACGACTTCCTGAACAATACTGCAAACCAGCATCATCCTCTGAACACTCAGCTCAGCTGTGAGGGGAGCTACGGAGAATCTCGCTGGAACACTGGAGACCTGTTCTTCAAGTAATTGAAATAATTCCTCCCTTTCTCCCCGATATTTTTATATTTAATTCGCCATATGTCAGAGTAAAATCGTAGGAAAGAAGCGTTTGCCATTTTTGGAAACTTAGAGTATCGTGAGATATTTTTAACTACAGATACTATTTTAGATAGCGCATTTTGGTAACTGAAACTACCTTCACGTTATATCGTAATAAATTCCACACGCGTATTCAATTATGACGAATTACGGTATCATTAAATTCCGCGCTTTCGAATCGATGAATATCGTCGAAATTACAATCGAGATAAGATTATAACACTCCACAGTGTGTCGTCTAGCGTGTTATTTATGACATTGGAATTAACGGACCAGGTAAACGTAAATTACGAGTTTAATTAATTGATGAATTTATTGGATTGCGCGATGTGTAGAATTGTACCGAACGAGTAATCGTAATGCATGGGATAATCTGGGCTTAATTGCCTATAGGGGATGCACGCGAATATTGATTAAATTCCGCGGTAATGGCGCTTTGTCCGAATTGTTTCGCGGTTCGGGAAAAATCGCTCCGGGGGTTGCCGCTGATCATGGCAGTAATTTTCGTGTACGAATAAAAACCGAAGATCCCGCGGATGGTTACCGAGGGCACATTTGTATCCCTCCCGTGAGTCGCGTTTAATTGAGAAGTGGAGTTTAGAGTGAGGTTGGCTTGCACGTGATGCATTATTCACGAGCAAAAAGTGACACCCTTCGAATGGAAAGAATTAAAACGTCGAGACAGGATAAAATAGAAGTGAAACTCGTGGTCAGGGGGGAGGGGCTGGGTTATTATTCCTCGTAACGGAAGCAGCAGAAGAACAAGCAAACAGAGAGAAATCTAAACCCCTGCAGTTTCTTTGATGTAATCAGAGTGCAACCGAGAGTAACAATAATGATAATTATTATTACTTTCAAAGGTCATTTCTTGCATTAAATTTATTATCAAAAGACAGAAATATTTGTTTATTCCTGGCAACTAAGATTAAAAAAAAATTCTTCCAACAGAGATGTATGTTATAAAATAACAGTTTTGAAATTAACCCCTTGACCTACGATACTGTGCGAGACTCGTGGTACGAACGTCGGGCCCAACCCGAGTTTCACGAGCGAGAGCCGTGGTTCGTACTTAGCTAGACTCGAACGTAAACAGCGCAGCAGGGCGTCAGGCTCGTAGTACATTTCCGCCTCAGTCTCGTGTTATTCTTCGTCGTGTTCGGACGTGTGACTCGACGTCTGCCCGAGTCTGCTGTTTATTATGGTACGTGCCATCGGAAGTTAAATCGTAGAGCACGGAGTTAAGATAATACGTTATCGTAGTCGCATTTCAGAGTATAACCGTGTTCTCTCTTTGCTTAGGTACTTGAAGAACGTGTCAGTGGAGGGTGATCACGGGAAGCCGAACGTGGAGTTCACCCAAGATGGAGTCCTGAAGGCGGTCGAGCTGAAAATCATGAACCTCCGTCCTGGATTGAGCAAACAACTCGTTTGGGAAGAGGTGAGTGAGCAAAATTTCTGTTCCTTTTTACTATACCCGGGAGATACGAGTTCGGTCAGGGAAAATTCGCGATCATGGCCATGGAATTCGCCGTTTTAACGTCGGACGATCGAATTACACGTTCGAATCCACCGCGGATTTCGCAGAGATCAGCATAAAATATAACGCGGATAGGAACGAATCAGCAACCGGATGTAGGGTAGCGTGGAATTGTCGTTGGAAGCTATCAGATTCCTTCGGAGATCCTAGAGAATGAATGGCCAGGGAAGTTGACGAAAAGTATTCGCGTTCTAGTGCCGGGGAAAAGAAGTTAGCTGGAATGTAGGTCTCATCGGAACGTGAATGGAATTTCTTTGCATTTCGTTCTTATATATTAAAGTTAGGAATAATTCCGTGATTCCGATTACGCTTTTACATCTACCGAGTTAATAGAGATCGTCAATTTTCCTTTTCAAAATGGAGGAATCTAAAATCTTCTCTCAGCACTTTGACATCCACTTTTAACGGTACCTCGATACTCCCCCGTCGATCAATTTAATTAAATCACCAATCTTCCTTTAGGAATATCGAATCCAAGAGAATAGAAAAATTAGAGTTTAAGCAATTGGGACTAGACGCGAGAAATTCGCCGATATCTTCGATATCTCGATGAATCGAGGCAGCTGACAGACGAGAGAAAGAATTCAAATTCCACCCCACTAATCCCATCGATCCTATTCTTCTTCTCCGCGCTGAAAAGGAGAACCATGGACCTTAATGAATCTTTGAATGCCTTTGTTACTACCTAAATATCTTATACGCCGCGCCATCGGCCAGTAACACAGAAACGTTTCGATAACAATGGAGAATCACGTCAAAATATTATTATACGCGGATCGTTGGGTATTCACGAGAGTCAGCTGCGCGAATCGAGCTTTCGGTTGCGGCTAGAGAGGGAAACTTCGTTTTCTAATGGATGCATTTGACGTTTAATTAACGTCCGGCGTTGTATTGATCGAGCACGCGAGCTCTGCCTAGACCGTATCCAGTCTGCACACGCGTTTTCGCGGATTCACACGCGGATTCTCTCGTTTGTTCGACTCTATATAGCGGTCCTCGCGGTCTAAGGACGTTCCGAATCGAAGCATCGAATGGCTGCGAAAATCGGTACCATCCAGTCGTACGATAATCCAATAAAGACTGAGATATAATTTGTGTACCCTCGCTTAGATTCTTTTATCTTCTAATAGGTCGATTATTCTTTAAATAATACGTTGTAAAATCTCAACGTAAGTTCAGATAATATGGCCTTCAAAATGCATGTTTCCATAACTTCGGAGACGGATAAGTATTAAATTCAGTAACGAATGTAGAATCCTGTTTGGTGAAAAATAGAACAGATTTACACCCCAGCGAGTCTCAGACCACCACATAACGAGGCGGTGGCTTTAATTTCCGTTACGTTTATTCGCGGCTCGCTGACGAGAAACCGACGTTCACCAAAAGGAATTTCACGAGCAAGTCCCACATGTCCACATGGATTTCGTGGCAGTTTTGCGACCTGGCCTCGTAAATCCGTGCGTAAGGGCGTAACCGACCGCTTTATATGATATTAAGGTCGTCTGTTTCCTCTTTTGGGACCGCGACTACGATCGTGGCGAAATTGTGGTGGATTGTTTGCGTAGAAATGATTGACTTATCCTCGAAAAAGCAGACTCCTGCTAGATTTCGCTGCTGTTGCTTTGATGTTCGATGACTTTCGTGTACGAGTGTATGTCAACGACACGGGATACGATATTATACGTGATATCACAGAATCAACAAATTTCGACAAATTCGTAGTACAATCCTACTCTTTCTTCGGATAAATTGCACGTTTTTCAAGATCTAGAGGGAAATTCCGTTTCGTTTACACGAATGATACCCCACCAGAAATAGGAGGCTCTAATACGTCTGAATTAATTCTCAGCTATTCTTAATCTCGAATTTCATCGCAGGGGTAGCATGCGAATCCACGTTCTCTCACTTGCTTGCACGAATCACGACGCTTCTGTCATTCAATGCTATCCCCATTCACCCTCGAACAATTGAATATCCCTCGCATGAAGTCCAAAGAACGGTCTTTAATATTCCGACAGCAACCGCGTTATCCGCGAGTTTTCACGTTTGAAACGAATTCGACCAATTCGCGTGCTGCCCTATCGCCAAACACGGCAGCCACCTGTCATAGAGCAATACTCTTTTCAAGAAGCGGCGTGGTGTTCCCCGCCTCGGTTCATTTCACCCCCGGAAGCGGGAGTCGCTTTTCACGCCGCACCAATGACGAGGATTAGGGACGGGGATCAAAAATGTCCACTTAATTGCGGCAGACACCCTGAACCGCGAGATCCCGCGGTTTCAGAGGACGTGGTCCGTGGATAATCCGAATGTAAACTCGAGGAAAGTTTTCCCTCGCTGAACCTAGCCCTCGTGCCTGCTCGGGTCTGGTCTGCTCTTTCTTCTATTTCGTCGAATCGTGGAATTTGTTTCCGTCGAGTAGACTGCTTTATTCTTCGTGCCCGAGTTCATTTTCCCGGCTAATTTTGAAAATGGTCTTTGGTCCGATTTCATCTTGCGTTTCACTCCCTTCGTCCGAAATTAATCGCCGGTATTATCGTAGCGTCGGTGTTCCCTTCTTTTTCCAGCTTGCATATGTTTTGAACGTCGTTTTTGAACAGAACCGTCTGTACATCGAGGTAGTCGGAATTAGAAAATTGCTTCCTTTCTGTTGCTCCATTTTTCACTCTCCGGGGGGTAGTTTTTCTTGTCGGCCCTGCGCTCGCCATTACCGCGCAGTTATTCTCGCTGTCGATGTGTTTTACCCTCTTTGCAGCTTTATTTCGCTATTCCTCATTTTTCAAACATTCCTCGTTCGCACCGTCGAGGAAATCCGTTCTTAGTGTCTCGATTACGGGACGGACACCGGCTTCGCGACTTTCGCACAATGTGTGCGAAGACTTTATGTTCGACGTCGATCAGGCTGGATAATCTCGGAGAAGCAGCTTTCGAGAATTTTATACGGGAAGAGACATATTGTAGTTGAATTTCAACTTTGCCGAGTTTCCGGACTTATAACGACTATGAAATTCTTCGCGAACATTAGTGAACCGATATCGAATTAATGTCTCGTGACTCTAACTTCCGTTCCTTCGTGACAAACTTTTTAATGCACGCGAGATTCATACCGGTCACACGTATTTAACAATCTCGGCGACAGTTCGCTCGTTGCCTCAGCTCCTCTGACCCGGTAATCTTAATAGAACTTTCCGCTTAGTTGGACTTAACCGATAATTCAAACTTGCCGCGAACTCGAGTCGCCGAATTCGGGTTGAGGTTCCGAGATCCCTTCAAGGTTCGTTCTCACGCGCGTTTGATTTTCCCGAGTTCGACGGAGAAGTCCATTGCGCGGTTACCACTCTTCGGGTTGCCTTTTTGCTGCCGGAATCCGCGTTCTTACGCAGTCCAGCAACTTTTCCCGATAACGCGATTACACCGTCGTTCGTGTGCCGGAGATTTTTACTGCCGTTTTCAAGCTTAACTGCGACTTGTAACGCCAGCGTTAAGTTACGCAACTTTTATGGCGGATTTCATGGTAGACGCTGAACGCTGCTTATACCCTCTAACTTCCCAGCGTTCTTATAACTTCCACCCCCTCGCGATATTCGGTTTCAACGCGTTTTATTCGATCTTCGTCGTAAGGCGTGCACGTTACTCCATTTTCTTCGTCGATGCATCAGTTCTGACGCTAAATGTGTAGATACATAGCTTCGAGTGGTTCCTTATTTAATTTTCTGCTTCCCTGATGAATTAGAACTAGTATTTTGAAGTAACATTCCGCGAAATGCGAAAATTGCAGTTGTCATTATGAGAATATTGCGGTATATTCCTAGATTAACTAGGAAAATTTCATTATGTGACGCTGTATTGTACTCGACCATAGTGGTTTATTTACACATAGAATTAATCGCGTACGAATTTACCAGTGTGAGGGTAGCATTGATAATTGCAGCGTCTCACTTCATAGTTAGAAGACGGTACAACTTTCAGCCCCTAAAAATATAATTTCTCGACTCGCCTAACTTCTCAGACGACGACGCGATATAAACGCAACCTATACTCCAGTCGTTCATTAAAATAAGCTCATACCCCATCCGGCAAATTCGAACAAAGGAAGATCCTCCCGCGTTTCTTTTCCCTCCATTTGCAGCCCCTCGTGAAACCATTCCTCTGCCTACTGCCTTTCTCTCGTAACGTTTTTTCCGCCATTAACTCCGCCGTAATTTCTCGATCCAATCGAAAGTAATACTCGAGATCAATGCCGAGGAAGAAGTCAAGTTCACTCGCTAACCGAGGTAAGAACGAGGTCGACTCGAAGAACGTCGGACGCCCATTCTTCCGGATAACGATTCCAATTACGTGTTACGAGTCGCGTTTTTTCATCGATTCCCAATCATCTCGAAACGCACCGGGCCTTCAATTATATCGGCCGCACGTTTGACTCGATTGCACACTGGGCGGGCGAGAAATGATAAGTGGAATCGGAAGGAAACCGGCGACCTTGTTAAACTAATTTCTGCGGAATTTGAGCATCCGCTTTCACCGTCGGTATCGACAGAACGGGTGGCCGAATGATGGACGAGCGTTTCCGGATTCAGCGCCTGGAGGGCGCGGTTGAGTAACCACGCGCAAACATAACCTATATTTCTGTAAACGGAACTTTCGCCGCGGGAAAGTAGCGAAGTAAAGAAAGACGATTTTCTCTTAATAGGCGAGCAAATTGTCGAAATTTAATGAGACGATTAGTAGAAATTTTGGGTCTATTTGCTGAATAGACCCAATGCTGAAGATTTGCAGAAAGTTTGGTTCTATTTGCTACGCGGGTATTCTCTCTGGAAATTTATTTAATCCTCTCCAAAGACATCCTTGAATAAATATACACAGGTGTCCATGTCGATACATTAGAATTATCATTATACCTATAT